AGTTAAATACACTAAAACACTTGTACACAAATTTGTATAGTAGCGCTATTTATAATAGCTCATAATATGCAATCAGCATACTTTCGGAGAATAGATGAATAGATACAAAAATGAATGAACCACTGATACATATGAGATTTGTAAACATCAAAATAATTATATAGAGTGAGAGAAATTGGACAAAAGTGGTACATACTACATGATTTCAGTAATATGAATTTCTGGAAAGAGAATAGTTTTTTTATTTTAAGAGAGTAGTAAATGAGGAACAAACAAACAAAAAAATAGAAGAGTCACAGCATACCAGTATCACAAACATGAACAAGTCCAAGCAAGAACACTGAAGGTGATACAGGGTCTCGAGACAAAATAATATGAATTAAGAGTGGGTATTTAATTACATATCGCTATCTTCAACTACATTGCTCAGATTACCAGATGAAAGAATGGAAGGTTGCTCAAACCATTAAAGAGAAGAAGAAAACAATTATTAGATAACACATAGGAGATAATACAGAGTTTCACGAGACATGATGGTCGTGAATAGGTTCACAAAGCTAATCAACATTTCTCTTCTAAGTAGAGTTACACAAGAGAGAAAGAGTCTACTTTTTGAAGATAAGAATAAATCTATGTCTACAGCCTTACACTGGTGATGGTGTGGTGGGAATATATACATTTCAAAACTTACTAAATTGTACGTTTCAAATTATGTACAGGTTTATATTAATTATGTTTCAATAAAGGTACAAATAAAATAAAATATTTGAACACAAGTATGTGATTCTAAAGTAATATGAAGTGTCATGATATATATTCTATTAAGAACAGTAACTGTGTAATTTTTCCCCTTTGAATCTTTCCAGAAGTGTTTCATGTATAAAAATATTTACTAACTCTTGTATAAATTACATTAAAACAAATCTAATCTTTCATAAGACAGAAAGACAAAAATGATAAAGTAATGACATATTTCATGTTCAAAATTTAAGGTGGATTCTGCTGCTATCTTCGCTCAAAATATTACATTATGGAGGTTATGAGACAAGGTATGCATCATTAATTCTCCTTTGCAAGTAGCAAAGAACTCTCTATGGCCACAGGATGAATCCATAAATCTGAATTGGTCTTTGAAGAAGACTTTTCACAACTCCGTGGCACAAGGTCAGAAAAACATGAATGGGGCAAAGAAACAATTCACACAAACTTTTGGAAGAATATCACAGCACACATTTTACTAATAATCTGTGGTTTAAAGCATCTTGTTTCTCTAAGATTAGAATGGAAGCACAATTTCCAATGAACTAAGAAATCTAAACACTCATACATAGAGTGTATAAACACTCTATGATGACCATTACAGAAGGAGAATGTAACTTTCTTGTACGAACTGGCCCTTAGCCCAAATACATAACTGCTACAATACATAAAGACTCCATACAAAAAAGAGTCCATCAGACCTCTGAAGTTTATACTGAACCAATATTCACATTGTGTAAGGTACTCAAGAAAGAAAAATCTGTCCCTGCAATACTAACTTGTTCATTTTTCTTGTTGTTGTTTGTTTACAATTTAGAAAGTACATGCTGAGCTAACACTGTTTCATTTACTTGATTCTCAGGGTAACAACAAACCATGAGCTCAATCATCTTCTTTAGTATATAGGACTAAACACAGCTTCAGAAATACTTGTTTAATGAATCAGAAATACCTTCTCTCTCTCTTTGAGTTTTCAATACAATGGTAAGTTCAACAACTGGAAAAAATACAAAGCAGAATTGAAGAGCACTATATGAACAAAGCAAGAAACTATCAGTGCGTGTATAGAAGAAATAATTCTCACGAGTCATAGTAATTCATGAAGCCGAAGAAAGAACTTTACCCATTAATGTGGGTATGATTTCATTTAACCATTCATGAAAAAAAGACTTTCAGGTAAGTAAAATGGCAAAGTACTGTTTGTTTGTTTTTACCTTATGAAAATATTACAACAGGGATAAAATTACTTAAATGTCTTTCTCCATTCCTTATTTTTAATGTGTCAAAATTATATCAGTTTATTTTGAGGCATTTAGGATGGAAAATATTATCACAGAAATGAAAATACCATAGCACAATGAATATTTCTTAAGGAAAGTTAGATATATGTAAGAATAGAGGAATGATTTAAAGACATGTCCTGTCTACATAAATGAAAATAGTTATCAAATTTACACCAGAAACTCCATCAGTTTTAATTTTATCTTGTACTCACCATGATGAATATTTCACAAATGATGTTTTCTACCTATGGGTAAGAACCAATGTCTGGTATGTTGAATTATTGTGTAAGATTTGACTTTATTTAAGTCGAGAAGTGATTAAAATTTTTAGGAAAAATAGAGGGTTGGAACATTAGAGGGATTCCACCCACGTGCTACTGTGTAAAGTTGAAGGAAATCCAAAGGTGTGTAGTTAACATATTTCTAGTCAGTGACGAGGTGACCCCCCGCAAATATAGGATGTTAGGATAATTAGAGAAGTGGAACATCCAAACATCAGTGTTCCGTGGCTTGGCGGGAAAGAATGTACCCCTTTGAATGACAGTGAATGAAAGAGTAAGAGTCCAGCAACTGCCTGATCCATCAGGCAGTCTGAATGAGCGGGAACCCTAGGATTAGTACACCCAGCTGGTAAGGAGAAAGGATTTCTTAGCGTTTGTCAGGATAATTCATGAAGAGTGATTCCAGGGAGACATTTTAAGAATACTCCCACTGTCTGAGCTTGCTTCTTTGGAAATCAGAAGACCTTGCACGCTCTTGTTTCTGAGTCTTCAGTGCCTCTTCAGTAATTTGCTTGATACCCACACTAGAAGACACTTTGCACCCAGGGAAGTGAATGAAACCAGTGATGAAGAAAGTGAAAGGTGTATCTGCAAAGCAGGGGAAGAGGAAGCCACTTCCATTTTAAAGTGGCAATCTGTTCTCTTTGAGGAGGGTAGACCATGTGTGTATGTTCTCAATAAGAGATGGTTAAACAAATAAGATTTTGGGCAGAGCTTGATTTCTGAGGCTACCCACCTGACAGCAGATCTCTTTGTTTGAGGGGCTTCCTCCCTGAGGAGAGGCACTCAAACATACATTGTGTCTGTTTTGGCATTTATGGTACATCCCAGTGCTCTAAGGAAATGTCCAGGTAGCACGGAACACAAGTCCAACCTATCCATGGGCTGAGCAAGTGAGAGTCTGTTGAAACTTTCAACCATCACTGAGATCCCCCTGGCAAGGAAGGCAGGTGTACTCAGCGGCCGATGTGGTGAATGAATACGGAGAGAACACTGCCTTAGCCCAACACTGTAGACAGGGAGGGGATGGTTCCACCTTCATATTGCCCCAACTGATTTTCCCAGCTTGGCTGAAGCTGAGAAGGGCCAAAAAGGAATGCAGATATAACGAAAGACTCTGTCTTATACCTGGTGGAATGTGAAGAATATGTCACAAATTTGCTCTTCAGGTAGTACCACAAAGAGAAATCTATGATTTCTTTAATTATGCATTTTGATTTCGTTTCATTCTGCGTTTGTGTTTATATTACCTTATCTTTTTCTTTGCATACTTCTACTTTTATGTGATTTCCAATGCTCTAAAAATCTGCTACTGTACATTCATTCCCTTAGTGTACTCAGAAACAAACAGCACAACTACTGCCAACCTGAGGGACGGGAGCACAGATCTCTCCCAAAGCTATTTAGAGTATATAATGATGACAAGTGTAGAGGGATAATCACCAAAGGTATGCTTCATGCACATCACTCTCTAATCACACCTGCTTCAACTGAAAGAGGAACCACACTCATGGAAATTATAAAGAGAAAAAGTTCCCAGAGTTCTAACATGGTGAGCATAGTCAGCAATCACTAACCAAGGCTAAAAATCCCCAGGGAACATACAAGATGTAGGCCACTGGGAATTGAGCTCAGCCAAAGACAGCACATCAGTAATCTGGGACAACTTCTAATGAGAAGGCTGCTCACTAGGAAGATCCTCTCATAAATGGGTAAAAGATACCATCCCAAAAATAGACAACCACAACACAGAAATATAAGAAATGTAAAAAAAGAAAACACAAAGGATTACTATAGAAGTTTTAAATTATTAATAAAGTAATCCAAAGATACTGAAGTGAAAGAGAGGCTGCATTGTGGGAAAAAGGGACAGGAAGGAAGGATATAGAAGTACAACATTTTGATACTACTGGTTTCTCTTCTTTAATGGAAAGGGAAGGTTTGTGTTAATATCAGTTAGAGAAGTTTTATACTCACATATTGTATCCTGAGTAACTAATTTGAAGAGGACAATATGCAACTGAGTAACTATTGATACTCTCCTATAATCGTGTTTTGAAATTTCTTTTTGCCTTTAAAAGAAAAACGAAAAATTTTGTTCATTGAAGTACATTTTATAATTCTTAACAGACTTTCACGTTCATTAGCACATATTTGCAGTCGTTAATGTTTGCATTCCATATGTTTTAACTGGTACTTGTACATGCAGTATTGACAGAGGGAAGGATGTGATTTCAGACTGGAATCAGGAAACAGGAATTCTGTGGGGCCACTGGACAAAACCGGTGGGGGGAAAATGTTGCTTGGCTTTAGGCAAGTACGTGGGGCACAACGTGCATATGACAGAAGTGTAGGAGGAAAAGACCAAGGTTCCCATGTTCATCAAGGGCCAGGAGAACTTTAGAAGACATTAAACACTAGCAAATGGGGAGGGCTAATTCCGCCTGGAATTGGGCGGCCATGGTGATGTCATCTGTGCATGAGAGTTAAACACCGGAAGGTGAGAAAGGGCTGCAGGTCAGTTTGGAAAGTCTTTGTGTCCTGGCTTCCCTGTGCACCTCCACTGAGAGATGTGTGGGTCTCCCAAGAGCTCCCATTGGCTGGCAGAGGCTGAGTGATGAAACAAAGGAAGGGTGTGGCTCTCACAACTGCAGCAGGGCTCAGAAGAGGAAGCAGAAGCAGGGTTGAGAGGGAGGTCCTACGGCTCAGCCATGAGTGAGGAAATCTATGAAGTACGGGACAATTTGGTGGTCACTTGGGTAAAACCCCAGAAGTCCGAGGACAACTTTGAAGAACCAGGGACCAGCTCTGAAAGGAAGGAGGAGGAGGAGATCTTGGCTGAGTCAGAGCAAATGGAAACAGAGAACGTGAGAGGACGAGGCTGTGTCCTTCCTGGCTGTGTCTTGCTCTTTGCCATTCCTCCATCCCTGCCCCTAAACCCGGCCCCTGACCCCTTAACCCTGACCCTCCTGCCTTCCTTAACCCAGACATTTCCCCTTTCCAACCCCTGCCTGTGGGGCAGAAAATGGGCAGAGCATGTCAGATAGGGGCATCTCGCTCCAACCCCAAATTAACCACGCTCTCCTCTCCTTTCCTTCTAGAGCCAGCAGGTCATCAACCCAGTGCTATCAGTACCGGACATGAGTCCCAACAGACACCACAAACGCTCCATACTGGTGCTCTGTTACAGAGGAAAGAAGAGGAGGGAAGAAGAGGACCAACCAGAGGAGGACCCTGAGTTTCAGGGTCCACCACCTAAGGGCCTAGTGGAGGAATCCAGACCCCCAGGAACGCTGCGCTGGACAACTCCAGGAGCTGTGAGGAAGAAGACTCTAGGAGCTGTGCAGAAAAAGACTTCAAGAGCTGTGGAGAGAAAGACTTCATTAGCTGTGAAGAAGACTCCTGGAGATGTGAGGCAGAAGAATCTAGGAGCTGAGCAGAAAAAGACTCAAGGAGCTGTGCAGAGAAAGACTTCAGGACCTGTGAAGAAGACCCCAGGAGCTATGATGAAGACTTCAAAGAGCAGTCAGCTCTGCAGTGAGATGAAGAGTCAGCTCAGCCGTCAGCAGAGCAGCCAGCAGAGCAGTCAGCAGAGCATTCAGCAGAGCAGCCAGCACAGCAGTCAGCAGAGCAGCCAGCACAGCAGTCAGCAGAGCAGCCAGCAGGGCAGTCAGCAGAGCATTCAGCAGAGCAGCCAGCACAGCAGTCAGCAGAGCAGCCAGCAGAGCAGTCAGCAGGGCAGTCAGCAGAGCATTCAGCAGAGCAGCCAGCATAGCAGTCAGCAGAGCAGCCAGCATAGCAGTCAGCAGAGCAGCCAGCAGAACAGCCAGCAGAGCAGCCAGCAGAGCAGCCAGCAGAACAGCCAGCAGAGCAGTCAGCAGAGCATTCAGCAGAGCATTCAGCAGAGCAGTCAGCTCACCCTTAAGGAGACCAAATCTGGGCAATAAAGCACAATGGAGATGCTAAGGGAGGACTCTACATTTCTTTCTGTTCCCTAGGGGGAAGGAAAAAAGAGGGGGGGGAGAGAAGGGGACAGAAGGGGGCGAGGGAGAGAACAGGAAAGGGAGGAGACGGGAAGGAAATGGAAACATAAAGGAGGGGAGGATGGTGAAGCAGAGGAAAGTGAATTGTGGAGGGTGATGGAGGTGGATGGGGAGAGAAGTGAGAGAGAGGCAAGAGAGTTGAGGGGGAGAGAGGACAGGGGGAGGGCCAAAGTGAGGAGGGGCAGAGATGAGAGGAGTACATAGCAGAAGCAGAGGAAAAATGAGGGGAGGGAGGGGGAAGAGATGGAGAGGGATGGAAAAGGAGGGAGGGGCAGGAGGAGGAAGGAAGGCGTTAGACAGGGCGGGACGGGTGGAGAGCCAGAGAAGGATGGGGCAAAGAGGGAGTAATAGAGGCAAGAGATGATGTGCAAGGGGGAAGAGAGGGAAGGAGCAGGGAGAGGAGTGGGAGGGAAGGAAGGGGAAGAGAGGGAGTGGAAGGAGGGGGAAGGAAGGAGGGTGGAGAGAGGGAAGCAGAAGGGGGAGGGAAATGAAGCAGGGAGGGTGTAGAAAGGGAGGGAGAGTGTTTGGAGAGGAATGCATGGAGGGGAAAAAGGAAGAGAAAGAGGGGAAGGAGAGGGAGGCAAAGAGGTTTAGGTGAAGGAGAGATGGAGGGGGTAAGAGAGGGAGGGAGAGGAGAGGGAGGAATGGAAGGTGAAAAGAGGGAGGGTGTGGAGAAGGGGAGAGAGAGGTTAGTGCATAGGAGCAAATGGTGTAAAGGATGGAGAAGGAGGACAGAGAGGGATGCAACCAGAGGAAAGGAAGGGAGCAGAGGAAGGGAGGGTATGTAGGAGTGAAATGTGAGGGCAGGGGAGGATAGGAAGGAGAGAGAATAAGAGGAGAATGAGTTAGTGAGATGAAGGTGAGGAAAAGGAGGAAATGCTTGACAGAGATAGCAGTAAGAGAGGAAGGGTGGGGAGGAGAGGGAGCTGAGGGAGGGGAGGAAGGTGCAGTGGAGGAGTGTGAGGTGAGTTAGGTGGAGGAGACAGAGGTTAGGGTTTGGAGGAGAGTGAGTGAGGGAGGTGAGGGTTGGGAGAAGAACGAGTGAGGGACTGGCAAGAGGAGGAGGAGAGGGAAGGAAATAAGGTAGGGATGGAAATATGTTAGGGAGGGAGTGGGAGTAGAGGGGGGAGGAAAGCAGGAGAAGAGGGAAAGAGGGGAGAAGGGGGGAGCAGGAATAAACGGAGGGAGGCAGAGCAAAGGGAGGAGGAGGGAGGAAAGGGATGGAGGGGGAGGACAGGAAGGGAGTAGGGGGAGCAGAGAAAGTAAAACAAGAGAGAGGGTAGGGATTGGATTTAGGGCAGGAGAGGCAGAGAGGGAAGGAGAGGCAGAGAGGGAAGGAGAGGCAGGGAAGGAGGGGGAGGCGGTGAAGAGGGAGAAAGAAGAGGGAGGAGATGATAAGTAAATAGGTTGTGGAGATGGGAAGGCAGGACAGGGAAAGGTAGTGAATAGAAGGAAGGCTGGCAAGGGGAAAGGCAGGGGTGGGTGAAAGGGGGAACATGGTTGTCCAGTTTTAGGGAAAAGCTCAGAGTGACATTTACCCACACCTTTGAGAACATGAATGAAAGAGTAAAGACTTCTCCTTTGAGCATCATCTCCACGCTCTAGCCAGTCTTCTGCAAAGAAAGTAATATTTCAGACTGGAAGGGAAGGACAGAAGGAAGAAAGACCTGAAGGGAGTGGAGGGGAGGGGAGGGAGAGAGGAAAGAGAAGGAAGTTGAAAAAGGAAAGGGGCAGTGAGGAGTGGAAGGCAGCATAGTGAGAGGGCATAGGAGGGGAGGAGGAGGGAGGGGAGGGGAAAAGGGACGCTAAAGAGGGAGGACAGAGTCAGTAGGATAGGGGAGAGATCGAAGGGAAGAGACAGGTCAAGGGTTCGAGAAAGGAGGGACTAGGAGTGCCCAAATCTGAGGATAAATTCAGGATTATAGCGACCCTGATACACGAGACCATGAATGGAAAAGTAAAGTGTTCACTTTTAACATTTTCTCCAGGATTGAGAGGTCTTCTCGAAGGAAGTCAAATTTCAATAGGGCAGGGAAGGACACAAGGAAAAATGAGAGGGAGGAGAGTGGTGGGGGAGAGAAGTAAGGGAAGGAGGATGGGAAGGAGGTGAATGTAAGGGTGGAGGTCTAGAGCAGGGGGGAGGGAAGGGAATCAGATGGCAAGGTAGAGGAGGGGAGCGAGAGGAAGGCAAACAACAGGGCACCTGTTGGACAGTGAAAGTAACTGGGGTGCACAGCTTTGGGGATAAACTTGGATGACTGCTACCCTGAGACAGAAGACCAGGAATAAAAGAGTAAAGAGTTTTTTCAGCATCAGATCCAGGCTTCAACCTGTCTTCTGGAAAGGAAGTAACATGTCACTCAGAAGCAACAAAGAAAGGAAAAATGGAAGGAAGGAAGAAAGGAAGAAAGGAAGGAAGGTAGGAAAGGTTGGAGGGAGGCAAGGCAGGGAGGGAGGAAAGCAGAGGAAAGGAAGACAGGGCTGGAAGGTCACAGGAGAGGTGAGAGGGAAGGGAACCGGCAGGTGCAGCAGACAGGAGAAAACTGGGTTGCCACATTCTGAGGACAAAATCAGGGTGCTACCTGCCCTGAAACTGAAAAGCATAAACTGAAAAGTAAGGGCTTCTCTTTCAGCACCAGTTCCAGGATGCATCTGTTCTCTGGAGAAGAAATAATATTTAAGTCCTTCAGGGAAGGTCAGGAAGATTTCAAGGAGGGAGCAGAGTGGAGGGGGCGAGATAATGAAAAGAGTATGGGAAGGAAAAGAGTGGGAGGGCGAGGGAGGAGAAAGAAGGGGAAAGAAAGCACAGAAGGAACAGGATACCTGTTGGACATAGGAAGAAACTGGGGTGCCAAAGTTCAGAGAAAATCCCAGGGCCACAGATAGCCTGAAACTTGAGCAGGTGAATGGAAGAGTAAACAATTCTTTAAACATCAGCTCCAGGCTTCAGCTTACACTCAGGAAACGAGGTAACATTTCAGTCATGATTGGGAAGAAGGGAAAGAAGGAAGGAAGGGAGGGAGGGAAGGACTGTGGAGGGATGGATACAGGGAGGGTGGGTAGGGAGGAGACACAGCAAAGGAAGTGAGAACAGGGCAGGAGGGGCAGGGGAGGCAAGAGAAAGGACAGGGCAGGGGATGAAGAAAGCAGGGCCTTGGGGTGCAGAGTTCTGAGGATGAACTCAGGTGCCAGCTACCCTTACTCTTGAGGCATGAATGGTAAAGTAAAGGATTCGGTTGTAACATCATCTGCAGGACGAACAGTCCTCTGAAAAGTAATATTTCAGTAGGGCAAGGAAGGTCAGAATGAATGAAGGGAGGGAAGGGAGTGTAGGGAGAGAGAGGGAAAGGAGAGAGAATGTGAATGAGATGAGCAGGAAGCTGAAGGGCAAAGGGAATGAGAGGGTATGGGAGCAGCGTGGCGAGAGACAGAGGCAGGCTAGACAGAGAGCATATGTTAGAGAAAGGAAAGAACTGAGGTGCCCAGCTTTAGGGATAAACTCAGGTGACAGGTACCCTGACAAGAGACAACATGGACAGAAAAGTAAAGGGTTTTATTTCAGCATCAACTCCAGGACACTGCTGTCCCTTGGATAAAAGTAACATTTCAGTAGGGCATGGAGGGGAGGAAGGAAAGAATGATGGAAGGAAGGAAGAAAGGAAACAAGGAAGGAAGGGAAGAAGAGAGGGATGAAGAGAGAAAAAGCAGGAGGCTGAGAGAGGAGGGAGGAGAGGATGAAAGGGAGGTTAGGATAGGGAAGGGAAGACAGGGGAAGGAGTAGTGGGAATGGACAGGCAGGTGTTAGAATAAGGAGGGACTTGGGTGCCCAGATCTGAGGAAAAACTCAGGATGATTGCTACCCTGATACTGGAGACCATGAATGGAAAAGTAAAGGCTTCTATTTTAACATCATCTCAAGGATCTAGCTCGCCTCTGAAAAGTAACATTTCAGTCAGGCAGGGAATGACAGAACAAAGGAAGGGAGGTAAATTTATGGAGAGAGAAAGGAAGGAGAAAGCCAAACGGCAGCAAGCCCATACTGGTGGGCATTGGGAGGGAATGGGAGGAGAACAGAAGCAGAAAGTGCAGGCAAGGGATAGGGCATTTGTAGGAGATAAGAAAGAACCAAGGTTCCAAGCTTTGAGGATAAATTCAGGTGACAGCTAACCTGAAAGTTGAGACCATGAATGGAAAAGTAAAGGATTCTAATTTAGTGTGAATACCACGATCCAGCTCTCCTCTGGAAAGGAGGTAACATTTCACTAGGGAAATGAAGGAGGTTAGTAAGGGAGGAAGGGGGATCGAAAGTGGGTGAGAGATGGAAAGGAGTAAGGATAGAAAGGACAACACTTGAGAGGGAAAGGAAAGAGTGGGAGAGCATGGAGAGGAGACAAGGGGAGGCACGCAGAAAAGAGACAGAGCAACTGCTGAAAAAAACATAGAAACTGAGGTGCCCAACTTAGGGGTAATCTCAGGTTGAGAGCTTCTCTGAAAATGGAGATCATGAAGAAAAGAGCAAAGACTTCTTTCAGCATCAGTCCAGGTTTCAGACTGTGGTCTGCAAAGAAAGTTGCATTGCACTCAGGGGTAGGGAAGGAAGGAAGGCAGGAAAGAAGGAAGGAAGCAAAGTAGGAGGAAAGCAGAGATAGATAAAGGAAAAGATAGAGGGAGAAAAGGGGGGAAAGCCAAGGAAGAGAGGACAGGGAAAGGAGGAGACTGCATGAGGGGAGGGAATGGACAGGCAGGTGCTGGAGAAAGGAGGGAATTGGGCGGCCCATTTCTGAGGATATACTCAGGAAGACATCTACCCTGACGCTGGAGATCATGAATGGAAAAGTAAAGGCTTCTGCTTCAACATCATCTTGAGGATCCAACTCTTCTCTGGAAAGTAAGTAACATTTCAG